ATTTGCTCACCAAACACCTACATTGCAGAATGACCCCACTGGCTTCCTACCCCGTGAAAAGTCCTCAAGTGCCTTGCATGAGGATTCTTTCTTATTCAAGTAGATTGAATACATTGATCTGTGTGTGCCAGATATGAAAACTGTTCTGTATTTGAACTAAAAATTCATTGCACCTTGTCTATGATTATAATGAGGTAAAACAGACCGTGGCCCAATACCACCAAGCTGGCAGATGCAACTCGTCCATCCATATAAAATTAATGTGATAATATCTGTCCAGTCTGGCCCACATCAGCAAAGGATGCCTGAAATATACAAACAGAGAGAGATATTAGTGAGTAAATGATAGTCAGTGTAGACATTTTTTAAATTTTCATGAAAACAGAGAGAGATGAGAGAATATCTGGAGAGGGACCAATTACAAATAACCCTGCTCACACATGCATAATTAACAGGATTCAAGAAGCAGTAATGATCATTCTTTTAACACAGCATAAGTCTGCCTAGAGAGGTGAACACATCAAAAAAACTCAGCATGAAATTTTTAAAAAATCTTTGACTAGTTGGGCTTTGGGGAGCTTGTCAGTTTATTAACATTACTTTAACCTAATTTTAATTTTGTTTAATGTGATTTCTTTTTCTGTGAAGCTCTTTGAAAAAAACTGTTGTTTATGCAAATAAACTACATGGAAAATTGGTTTTGTAACTAAATGACAGCTGACAGACTAGGCTGTAATAGTCAACTGGGAACTTATAAAGCATGATTTGTTTACTCTAGTACAAATTACATAGCTATGATTATTAGGGGCAATAAATATCTTAATAGTGGCTATTTTAATTAACAGAGTCCTATGGCTGGATCTCAGTCCCCACAAAGACTGTTTTGAACTGCTCCAGTGACAGCAAAAATAGCCTTAATCCTTATTTCACTACTTGCTCTATTTAATATTTCAGAGGAGCTGGCATAATGAAGGTCAGATTTGTCCCATTCATTTCCTACCAAAACAATGTCTCTTGCTTGACTGTTTGCACAAATAATACATCCTACCATTTTTATCTTCACTGGCAGCTCTGATTTCACTATTTGCCTTCATCTGACTTCATAGGGATTTTTTCTGCCTGGGATGCAAGCCCTTTAAGAAATCTCTCTTCTCCAAATAATTATATTCTATTCCAGAGTCAGATCTTTGTAATTTTTAGATATTATTTCTTCATTTGAATGATAAGGTATTTTTGTCACAGAGTTCTATAGAATTAAAAATAAACAAAAACATAATCAACAGCAACAACAATAAAAAACCCCAAACACCTACCTCTATAACTGATGCATTATCTGTAAGTAATAAAACAATTTTCTCACATTTTCAAATGCAGAAATATGGATGCTAAGTAGGCAAAAAGCTGTTGCACATGCTGCCACTTTCCTGCCAGAACAAGGGTTTGCCTGCTGACAACAATTTAAAATAGCACATTATTATGGAATTATGCAGCATCATAGGCAGCAGCTTCATTTCTGAGAGCCTGGTATTCTCAGAGATATCTTTATTAACTGATCAATATTTGATCATTGTCTTAAAGAAATTTGTGCAAACATCTGAGTCTCTGTTCTTCCTAACATCAAAGCCAGTGCTCTGTCAAACCCCCTTCATCCTAAAAACCCAGCTCCTCTACAGAGGAGGATGAAGGGAAACCAATTCCAGAGACCATGGAAACCCTCAGCAGGTGAATGACCAGGGGGTGAAGGAAGCCACCAGCTCTCTCCACACACGAGTGCTCTTATGAGCAAGGGAACTCTCCTTTCAAAATTACTGACTTTGAATTTCTGTTATTTTCTTCTTGTTCTCCTTTCTTAGGGCCCTTTCACACCTGTGGATTTCTCCTATTAGAAGGGTGTGGGAATTTGCTTTCTAATCTGCTTTGCTCCACCCCTGGCTGCTCAGACTGCCACAGGCAGTGGCACAAATCAGTGAAGATGCTGCAGGGAAAGGGTCATTTGAGTAATTTGAGGGAGAAAAAGCTGGTGACAGCAGTAGTCAGGTGACCAGTGCCTTAAATGAAATATTCCTAATCTAGCTAGGTGATCACCTGAGACTACTGAGAAGCAGTAGAAATATTAATATAGGAATTAAAATCATCTGAACAACATAAGAGATGGAACTGAATTATGATGCAAGGTGTCAAGCCAGACATAATTAGGGCAGCCCAGGTGAGGTAATAATAATAGGGTGCAACATAAATACGAAGAGTACACATTGTTCAGGCAAGCTAGAAATTAAAGGCAGGGTATTTTAATATTATAATGTATAATGAATACATTAAAAGAATGTTCTAATGTATAATGTTCTAGGCTTAAAAAAAAAAAGATGAAGATAAAATGGATAATTTTAGTAGAAAAATAATTTAGGGAAGGAAAAGGTTTGGGTGATGTTGTCTGCTTTAGCCCCCTGGAGTTTAATTTGTGCTGGATAAAGATCTCCCTAATGTTATTACAAAGAGAAATATTAGCATTAGGGAAGATTTACTGTCTTTATGGAAGATTTTGACCTTCCAGAAATAGGCTTTAGAACAAATATTACTAATAATGGAACAGTGGAGGAATATCTAGCCATAGTAAGTAAAAGATATTTTCAATGAACAAAGGAGGTATAAGAAAGCCATGCATTTAGGAAAGAAAGTAATAATGATGCATTTGGAGTTCAACATTTGAACAGTCACAACACATTTGTGAGTCACTAATGTAAAAGAAAGAAAAAAGTAAAAATTGTTCACAGATACATCAGGCAAAATAAAAAAAAAAATACCAGAATACTGGACATTATTTAAAGTTTATCTGCAACACAATAAACAGTTCTAGTCAGCTGTTATTAAAACAAAACCAGCTGTAACAGTTAGCTGTATTAAAAAAAAAAGGCACTCTGATAGTAATTTGATGTTAGAGCTCTTCTATTATTTGACCTGAAAAGTACCTACAAAAGAACAATATATAACAACATTTGAAGGCAGAATAAAGTTTGATATAATATGATCTTGGCTTGTTTAGAGAAAATAAATCAGTGCTTCATGGGGTATTAACCCAAGGAAAGGAAAAGAATTATTGAAGCATAAATGATACCATTGGCTTAAAACAACTGGACCTATGCTAATTCAAATATAGAATAAAAGATCATTAATCACTGGAAGATTTAAATTCTCAGACACACCAAGATAAAGAACATAGTGAAGTAATAAAGCTGTGATTTAATAATTGAGGTGTGATCCTTGCATCCAGGAGAGATGAGGTTATTTTGATTATCGGCACCAATGAACAACTGAGATATTTTATCCTGAGATTTAGCATACTTTGCAGAAAAGAGCGATTTTTAATTTGGTTGTGAGGTGACTGCTTTTCATTACTCCCTGATCTTACATACCTTGTCACTTATTTGGATAGTGCCACAATATATGCTCTTGCAATAGCTAAGTCACAGGGCTTTCTTTATAAATATTTGCGTGCATTTAGAAGAAAAATGCAAAATGAGAAAAAAATTATATACTATAATTCTATACTAAAAATATAATTTCACAAATTAAATGGTTTTATTTATATTGTGTTACTATGGAGATACAGTATGTTATATTGAGAGAAAAAAAGGCATTTGGTTAGATTAATACACACTCTCATAGTCACATAATAAAAGGGGATTAAAATGAGTCACACCCCTATTGAGGGGTAGTCATACGGGGAGGGGCAGGCACTGATCTGCTCTCTGTGGTGACAGTGACAGGACTTGGGGAAATGGCCTGAAGCTGTCAGGGGAGGTTTAGGATGGATATCAGGACAAGGTGCTTCACCCTTGCCGAGGGTGGTTGGACACTGGAACAGGATGCCCAGGGAAGTGGTCACAGCACCAAACCCGACAGAGCTCCAGAAGCCTTTGGACAAAGCACATGGACATGGTATGTTCTCTCAGGCACATTGGTGTGATTTTGGGGATGTTCCTGGGCAGGGCCAGGGGTTGGGCTTGATGATCTTGGTGGGTCCCTTTCAACTCAGCATATGCTGTGATTCTGCAGCTTTCTGATTTCCCTTTCAAGATCAAGAAATGTGATTCTTGCTGGCTGCAGATTCAAGTGGACATCTCTGAATTATTTACTTTGTTAGCAATGGTAACTACAGGTAGCTTCTCCTCTAGAAGTTAGTATTTTTCCATGAGAACTAAGCTTCTATGGCACAATTACATGGCAAACTGCAAAAGCTAGAAATAAAGTTACCAAATATATGGTATGGTTGGTATTTCAAACACCAAGTGCAAGAGCCTCAAAGTTTCATAAAGCACCCTGAGACTTGTTACATAAATAATATGGTACAAACAGTAACTTCCACTACAGTATATGATAAAGTGTCTAAAGCTATTGCCTTTTTAGATTGTAGTAAACCCTAATGACCTGTGTGATGGAGACTTGCTTAGAACACAGAACTGTTTATCTTGCAGATATATAATGAAATGGAGTGGAGTCTCTGCTAGTAAAGACTCTTAAGCTAATGTTAGAGATGGGGGAAACAAGCATCAAGATAACCAGCCTGGTCATTCTCAGGTGGCTTTGTTTTATCCAACTATAATCCTCTTACATCATGCAATGCAATGCCATACACACTCCATCTTCACTAAAACCATGTCACACTCTTAGTGCCAGGTGTTCCCAGGCAGTGATCAGGATTGATGACCTTACAGCAAGCTCTGGCTCATCACCCCAGAAGCTCCTCCATATTTTTATTGAAGCCACCACCTTACTGCTGAAACTCAGGGCTAAATGCATCAGCTATAGCTGTCAGGGTCCTCTCAGCATCACCTTGCAGAAGCGAAGCATTCAGACACATTAGGAGGGCTACCAAAATGAGTCGGTGACTAGAGAGAAGCAATAACCCATAGAGAGCCACCTGCAGACTGTCAATTAAAGCTGCCATCCCACAGCTGAACCTATTTTTGCTCCATACTATGGGAATGCTTTCTGTTAATGCATTAAGTGCAATTAGAACATGTGTCCTTAATTTTGTACTCTGATAAAAAACCTAGATATGCATTGCTTTGCTTGCTATGCAGTAGACAGAGTAATTTTATGACTTTGGGAACTGAAGTCCTTGTGCTGTCATTCACTAAGAATTAATTTGCCAAAAAATTTTGTTTGTTCTTGTAGCAAACAAAAAGATATGTCTGAGCTAAGTTGCCCCAGCTGAATCATAAACTATAACTTAACAGGCACATGCATCTGTTTCATGGAAACTTCAGGGGAGAGGAAAATTGTGAGTATTTTAAAGGTTCTTTAGTTATGATGAGTTCAATTGTGTTTTGATAATGCAAAATTGACATTATAAAGAGGAAGTTACACAAAAATTTAACTTCTTTTTCTCTTTTGATTCCCCTTCCTTTCTTATTTTATGTGTATTTTAATAAATTGCTATTATGGGAGAGATTCTTTTTTGTGTGTTGCCCCTGACATGCTGATTTGTTTGCATTTATTTGTCTCCTGAAGCTAAATTCAGAATTGCAGAAGAACTTCTGGCAGAGTCTCTCCTTATGGTTAGTTTAAACTACCTAGACCACTGTAATACTGCTGTGGTTTCCCGGAATGATGTAAAGAGACAATTGACCTTTATTTTCTGCCCTCAGATACCTGACCTGTTCCAGGATAACAAAAGCTGATGGTCCTCTTACATGGCAGAGGTCAGAATTTACCAAGATGAGCATTAACTGCTATAGAGAACAAAGCACTAAGGTAAGAAATTTAAGGAGTAAAGTATGGAAAAATATCATATATTTCTATTTTGTGATACTGAAGGGTGAATATTGGCTTGTTTTGTGCCTTGCATTACCCAGACAAGATTTCTTCAGTCTGTCACCAACACAGCATCTTGTCAGCTGTGCTGTCTCTCTTGCAGGCGCAGAAATGTCATTTTTGCTTTCATCCCTTTTTTCCTGGCAATACAGTGGGGGCAAAAAAAAAAATTTGTTAATGTTGAAGAGAACATTGCTGCAAAACTCAACAAGGACAAAAGCAGGCTGAGACTCATGGAATGGTTTGGGCTGGAATGGACCCTTCAAGGCTGTCTAGCCCAAACCCCTGCAGAGAGCAGGGACAAATTCAAGATCAGGCTGCTCAGAGCCCCATCCAACCTGACCCTGAATGTCTCCAGGATGGGGCACCATTTTTCTAGGAAACCTGTTCCAATGCTTCACCACCCTCATTGTAAAATAAATTCTTCCTTATATGTAGCATGAATCTACCTTCTTTTAATTTAAAACCATTAGCCCTTGTCTTATTGCAACAGCAATAAGCCCTTGTACACTCCCTTAAAGCACTGAAATGCTACAATAAGGTTTCTCTGGAGCTTTCTCTTCTCCAGGCTGAGCAAACACAGCTCTCTCAGTCTTTTGTCATAGCAGAGGTGTCCCAGCCCTCTGATCATTTATCTGACCATTCTCTGGACTTGGATCCCCCTCTTTCTTGTGCCAAAAACCCCAGAGCTGGATGCAGCACTCCAGAACTCCCCCAAGTCCTTCTCTGTGGGGCTGCTCTTAATGATTTCTTCTCCCAGTCTGTGCTCATGTCTGGGATTGTCCTGATCCAAGTGCAGCATCTTGCACTTGGCTTTGTTGAATCTCATGAGGCTCAGGTCCCTCTGGATGGTATCCCCCTCTTCAGGAGTGTCAAACCACCACTCATCTTGATGCCACCTGCAAATTTGCTGAAGGTGCACTAAATCCCACTTGTCTTTGTCATGGGTGAAGATTTCAAACAATTTTCATCCCTGTATGGACCCCTGAGGGGTTCCACTTGTCACTGGCTTCCATCAGGTCTCTGAGCCATTGACCACAACACTCTGAATGTGACTTGTCCAACCAATTCCTCATCCACTGAACAATCCAAATATCAAACCCATCTCTCTACAGTTTAGAGAGGAGGATGTTGTTGGGGACTCTGTCAAAGGCTGTAGAGAAATACAGACAAATGTCATCTGAAACCTTTCCTTGCCCACTGATGTATCTCTCCATCATGGAAGGCCCCTGGGTTGGGCAGCAGGATTTGCCCCTGGTGAAGCCATGCTGGCTGTCCCAAATCTCCTCCCTGTCCACCATGTGCCTTAGCAGAACTTCTGAGAGGATCTTTCCAGGCACAGAGGGAAGGCTGACAAGGCAGTTTCTGGGGTCCTCCTTTTTACTTCCTTTAATAATTGGTGCAGTGTTTGCCTTTTTCTTGTGTGTATAGGCTGATCTAGCTGCCCAGTAATGTAAAGCCAGTTAATCTGTTGTGAGGTTACATTGATGGCAACACAGAGAAAACATTAAATTTGAACATGAGGCTCCAGCACACTGGCTTTTGGAGATTGCTGACAGGGACAGATATAGTAACCAGGAGGCTGAGTCATTCAAAAGTTACTTGAATTTCATTAACTTCACTGGACTGCAAGAGGTTCCATTCTACACAGGGAAAATTTCATTCCTAAATGCTATCAGTCTGTGTGGGGGTTTTTACATTGATTCCTGATGGATGCCAGCATGAGGACAGACTGCAAAAATTTCATTTGAATAATAGAATTACTGTAACTGTGAAATTTGGGGCTTTCGCCTATTGGATTTTGTTACTGGATTAAGAAATTTTCCAGCAATAATAGTAAAAGCTCCTTGCTCTATCTTTTCTCTTCTCTTTCCCCAGTGCACATTAATAGCACTGACAGTTGTCAGCATCCCCTTTGTCATCAGTGCTGACAGGCAAGAGGATGTACAGAGAAATGTGTTTATTTCACCAAAATAAAAGCTTGTGATGATCATAACTCTAATGCCTCTGAAATGTAAGTCATTCCCCCTGAAACGTCAAATAATGTAAGCTGAACAGGGAGAAAAACAACTTGGTCACAAAGAGAGGATATCTCTCCTTCAAAATAAAAGAAAACTAAGCCACCACAAACACACACACACAAAAGAACACGAGTTACAGACATTGTTATTATAGCCAGAGCTTCCCAAAGGATTCCTTTTCTCACAGGATTTCTTTTTCACAGTTAAAAATGTTGAACAAGATAGACATTTTCCTAGCAAATACTGTGGGCAAATGAAATCTGGAAAATATTCCATTTCTGTTTTTATAAATGTGTGGCAAAAATCACCTTATATTGAGAAACAAATTTTCACTGTCAGTCTTTCAAGGACAAAAACATTTTCTTACAGCTATAGGTTGTAAAGTATGACAGTAAAATTAGCTTGTGGGAGGATGAAGGTTCTCTTGTACTAAGCTGCAGGTACACTGATGGTTTCATAATTTCAAAGATCTTAGGAAGGCCCCCTATTTGACATATCCTGGCTATATAAACATTTTACAGTTATATATTAAAAATAATTCTGCCAAGAAACATTGTACCAAATGTCTCTGAAATTCTAGGTCTCTGTTTGCCTATTGCTATGTGAAGCTCTCATTTTTTTTCATGGAGTGAGTGCAATTTCTCTTATTTTAGCCATGAGTAAAATTGTTTTGATAAACCAGAAAAAGATTGATATAATAAAGTTCAATATAAATCTATTCTATGTAATAAAATTAATATAAAATAGGGTTAGAATTTATCTGCGTAAACTTGCCAAAGAGACAGTGTAGCCATTTGTCCTCTTTGCTGCAGCATTTCAAAACTCTGACCATTTTTAGTGAGGAGTGAAATATTGGTCTTGCTACATTATGGGTTCCTGAGACCAGCCCCTGATAACTCATTTTCATGGGGTTTGCAGGCCAGAAGTGACCACCTACTCTGACTGACATGTCAGAGCCCAATGATCACTTTGATTAACAAATATTCTTCAGAAAGCAAACTGACACTTTTCATTATTACTCATTTCAGTATTTTATCTTAAAACCTGTGCTGTCTGTACAATGTAAACCTTGTCTTCCACTTCCAGTGAGTGTTTTTGATCGCTTCCAAGACTGTTCTTGATGAGCGTGTGTTCTCCTCTTTCGAGATAAACATATTAAAATCCAAACTTTTGGATTAGCTAAGTAAATTTGTTTTGCTAAGTTTTCTCAGGGTTCTACCATCGTTGTTGTGATGCTGGTTTTGCAGTTTCTTGGCATTTTTTTTAAGGCTGGGCACCAGGGCTGTAAAGTATTTTGTACTGCTTTCATATTGCAGTTACTGGCTCAAAAACCCCACATGTTTCTATACACTAATTACCTTGTATTTATGGGGTCAGTTCCAGCTATCTTCAAGACAATTTTAAAGAGAACTGCACAGACATGCTCCCCCCCGCCCCGCCTTGTGAAAGCGATTTAAGTTAAACAACAGCTCTGAAATGAGAAATTATATGGTCATGCATATGTCCACCCTGCATAAGCCCACAGAATGAACAGCACAGTCCATTACCCCGGGCAAAGCAAATTGACAGCTTGTCTGGGGAGATTTCATTTGCTTCCCACTGGCTTGGCAAAGCCACCTAATGTCTGCCTGTAACTGAGCGTGTAGATGTGTGCTGAGCATGGCCTGGGACCCCTGCAGGCTGCAATCACTTGTCTGTGACACCAGCAGAGGTACCAGTAGCCAGAATTTCAGAAGAGCACTGTAGGGATGATATCCAGAGTGAAATGTGCAACTTTCTGGCTGTTTTACACATGGGAGTATTAGAACTTACCTTACACAACTGAACCTTACACATCAAGAGATGCAAATTCCACCAGTCATATGCTGGAAAGTTTGGCTGTGTAGGTACAAGTTGCAATGTGTGTCAGAGCCTGTATTGTTTTAATATCTGCATAGATTGTATGCTGTTTACTGTTGCTTTCAAATTCAAATATGACCTGGATGGTATTTGGTGGGGCTGACTTTAATCTCTACTCTTATAATATTCAGACATACGAGAAAAAATTAATCTTTTCCAAGATCCAACTTGGAATTTAACTTGGTCTTTGTTGCATTTTGTCAATATAATGCCTTTATAGTATTTTTTTCTCTCAGAAGAAATCAGGCATAGATACATTATTTTTAAAGTCCTTCTCAAGAAAATTCTACAATCTATAATTTGATCTTGTATCTGAGATATTGTGTTTTGAGTTCAGGACCTTTTATACAAAAAAAAAAAAAAGAAATGCAGTGTTTCAGTCCATTAGTTGCTCATTTTAGTTTGACTCAGCTTTAACTGGATTGAACATTGTGCTAATGAGATAGATTGGAAATGGCCTTCAGTAGAATGAATGATTTGATGATGTCTACTAATTTGCTATAGGAGAATGACCACATTAAGGAGATGCATTTTTTCTGGCCTAGAAAAGACTTCAGGCTATATACTAATGGGGGAGGAAAGAAAAGGAACTGGCTCCTATGCTTTTTTGATATCCCTTGTCCAAATATGTTTCTAGCACACAGAAAGAGAATTCTTTAGAACTAAAAAGAGCACTTAATGTGCAGATTTGCATTACATATATATGTCTCAACTTTCTTTCACTTGTCCAAACTGTTGCTCTCATTATAGCAGAACCTGCAGCTTATGTTTCACTTCAAACCACTGTTTGTAGAATTCAGTTTCTAATCATCTGAAGTGTCTTACCTCTCTGGCTCTGTAGTATTCAACAAGAAAAATTCTGCCTTGCAAGAAGGATGGATCAAATACATCCTTTTTTGCCCTTTTCAGCAGCAGTCAGATTAGAATGAAATGACCCTGATTAAAATGCCAGTAGTTCTCTATCAGCAATGAAGTTGCACCACCAATAAAAATAGCTAGCAGTAGGAGAAAATCTGGCAGGAACAGTGTTCAGCTCTAACAAGAGAATTCCCAGTGGGTTTCCAGGCCAGCTTCCCCAAAGCAGGCATTCAGCAGTGCACTCCCATGCAGTGCAGGCTTCTAGCAAGCTCCTTCCCAAACAGATTGCACCAGCAAGCCCAGCACAGGGACCCCTCACACAAACTGCTGTGGAGCTCAGCAGGGAGGCATAAGAAAGGGTGAGGTGTGGTAGTCCTGAATTTAGAGCCAGTGTATTTGAAGATAGGACTTGCAAGAGTTCTGAAAAATTCCCCTGTGTCTTAAAACATACACGAGTGCTGGTGGGAGTTGTTCACAGCCCAGAACATTATATTCAATAAAACCTGGCATGAGGTTGGAAGAAGAAGAAGCTGGGAAAGAGGGTATTTCAAAATTTCTATTGTTAAATAGTCTTTATTTGAACATCAATTTGATCATTTTAAATTACATTTTCTGTGTGTGAATCATGAAGTGGCTTTTAGGTCAAGCTAATCAGAACAGCTAAAACCACCTTCTTGCTGTCCTACAGGGTCTCATTAACCTACACAGAAGAGGAAACCTGCCACTTCTCACTGTGTTTCATTTAATTTCTGCTCAAGTAACCAGCCTATTTCCACTTGTCTAAGCTGTCACAAGAAAAAAAAATCAGCCTGAAACATTAGGTTTATAAATATTCAATGTGACATGCTTATTTTTTTTTCTTTTGATACATAAGGCTGTGTCACAAGGAAGTCCCTTGTTATCTCCAGAACTGACCAATAGAGGAGTCAGGATGCCACCATTTACCAATATTTTGGAGCTCAACATCCCCTTGTGCCTAAATTGAGTCTCACATTGAACAGGCAGTTGTTGGATGTTGACCTTTTTTCACCATCAGCTGAAATCTGTACCACCTACTTCCACTGACAAACCTGGCTTTCAGAAGAGAAGGAGTCTGTATTTCATTAAGCAGCTGGAGCATTTAAAGTACTAATCTTTACTAATTACAGCTATTTAAATGTTAGGTATCTAAATCAAGCTTATCACAGGGAGACAAAAAGTGACCTTACAGGCAATAGACTTTAAATCAAAAATTTGTCCATTCCTGAGACAGGCAGGATTTATCACCCTCTTTGAAAGCCTTGCTCTCTCCACTATCTCTAAAGACCACCTAGCAAATGGCTCATACCATATGCCTGACTTCCAGATGGCTGAAGTAGGTGAGACAAATCCCACCTTTAACGAGGTGGTGCCTACCTGGTCCCGCCCCTGCTTATCAGATACTCCAAGGGTTTACTCAAAAGGCATTTCACTGGCTCTTCCCTCTTTTACTGGCAAATCACAGTTTGACTCGTAACTGGACCCATTAAAAATGGGTTTTTGTGACCTCATTTTAGTTTGTTTCTTCTCATTTCAATATTAAATAGATAAGCAAGAAGCTCCTTTTTTCAGCTTGTCTTCACAGACTCCAGAAGCTCATCTGCAGTTTGACTGGGCTGAATGGATTATTCAAAGCAGACATGTTTGCCACTTGGAAGGGGATTGTTTTGGTTCTATTCATCAGAACAGTACTGAGATGAGAATCCCAATGTGCTCACTGTGGGTGCCTGTAATGCCTCTATCCATATGCATTGCTATTGTCACATTTTGTCACACAGACCCTTCATGTCAAGCGTGAATCATCTTGCACCCACTAGTTAAGGTATTGTAGGAACATTTTCTCATTTGATAACTTTTTCCTCTGTTATCAACTTAAACATTTAAAGGCAAATAATCTTTTGCCATCTTCTTGTAAATGCATAGCAGTACATAAACAACAGCATATTTGAAATCTGTAAAATTTCATACTTACTTAGTATTTTTGTCAAAGTAAATTATTCCAGTGCCCATTTTGAACAAAATGAGTTCTCTTTTGTGGCTAATTTCAGTTTACTGTTTATCACCAGTTTTACTAAACTTTGATTGTCATTTTAAAATAATGTTAATTTTTTTAATAATATATTAGTAACAAAAAACACTTCAGGAACTAAAGCAAATAAATTCTTTCTTTTTTTTTAATATCATCCCAAAATAAAGTTCCCTATTGCTCCTGTATGTTCCTCCAGTTGTGATATATAAGACAGGGTGACAGATATACAGGAACAAGTGACTTTTCTACATGGTTGAATGGCAATTCTTATGTGAGTAGTTCAAATTATCACAAGGTAAATGGTGCAAGGCAGGGAAAGGCTGGACAGTCTGGAGAGATCTCCAGAATCTCCCCTGTTCATTTTTAAGGAATAACTGTGCTGTTTGTCTTTGAGGTGTGATTAGTGGCTTCCTGGAGGGAGTAGGTACATCCCTGTTCCAAAGGCTATTGGGCTGCCACGGGCATGTCTTCATGCCACCTTCTCATCTGAAATGCATGAGAAATTCAGACATAGGCACACGGACTGTTTGCTGTGCTGAGGGCACGGCCCCGCGCTCTCAGCATCTTCTTTAGCAAGAGGACACTGCAGACTGGTGTGCATGCTTGGATCAAGGCCCAGTCTCAGATGGCAGTTTAGTATAAATTATTTTAACCTTGATCAGGAGGCAGCAGACAGACTCACGTGGTCACCTCGCTCCTCCATCCTGCTGGCACACAGCTGCTCTCCGTGCGGAGCCATCCAGACACACGTCCAATGTCTGGCTGCACTGCAAACCCTGGGGAACTCTTACACAGACTTGGAGTGTTGGATTTTGTCCCAAGGAGTTTCTTTTAAAGTAGGTGAAAGTTAATGAAGATTAAAGTGTCATATTGGAGTGGGAACACTTCCTGCTTCCATCACAGACACACAGTGACACAGGTTTTTCCATTCCTGTGTGTTTGAGAAGATGGGAAATGGGGTAAGAGACAAGGGTGACCTGAGAGTGAAGCCAGAAAAGGGATTTAATATTCCTGCAGTCTGTCTAGCAAAATATCTCAAGACTGATGTAAAGTAAACTGAGAATAATGTGCTTAATAAAAATAATTTTGTTTTCATGAAATGTATTTCTGTGATGAATAGGATTCCTTTAATTGGTTTGTTCACGTGGGGTTTTTTTTCTAGTTTGTTTTTCTTGTGAAAATTCTGGCTGGGTGGGAGAGAAGGGGGAGCTTCCTTCCTGCCTCATCCTGGCTGCTGCTACTTTCTGGGTTGGGGAATGGTAGAGCCTAGGGTAAGACACTATAAGCCTTAAAACAGAGTCTTAAACCAGGAAAAGACCCTCAAGATCATCAAGCCCACTCTTAACCCAGCACCACCATATTACCACCAAACCATTCCTCAAGTGCAGACATTTTATCAACACTTCCAGAAATGGCGATTCCACCCCTTCCCTGGGCAGCTTGCTCCAATGTCTGGCCACCCTTTCAGTGAAGAAATATTTCCCAATCTCTAATCTAAACCTCTGCTGGTGCAACTGGAGGCTAATTCCTCTTCTCCTGTCACCTGCAACCTGTGAGAAGGGCCCTTGCTACAACCTGCCCTGGTGGGAAGATATGAAAAGGACCAGATTCTCTAATTGCACCAAATTTCCACAGAATGCAATCTGGAGCTGGCACAGATTAGCACGTTATGTTTGGATAATTGTAAACATTGTTTGGAAATACTCAATAATTATTTTTATTAGCATAGTTCACATGGCTATGCAATGGAAAAATATTCAGGCTTCTAGAAAGACAGTAAATTGAAAGAGACAAGTAGGTATCTCCATATGCCAAACCTTCATCATCCCTATAATTGAAAACATTTCTAGCGTGTTAAGGTTAAAGAAACTGAATTTACCCTTCTGCAAAGGCTAGCTTAAGGTTCATGCATTATTTAAGTCATACTTACACCCTATTTTAAGGTTTTAGGTGAGATTTAAATGACTTATCAGCTGTAAGCTGAATTTTCCCCTTAGAGAAGTAATCTATATGCAAAGAGTAAATCATAGATACATTAATTTCTTTGGTGCACAACTTCAGTAAGAAGCAGGGGGTTTTATGTTTTATGACTTGAATCACCTAGAAAGCATTGAAAAAAGCCCAGTTCATCATTGAGATGCCATCTCTACTCCTAAGGATGAGGATAATGCTCTGTGACACTAATGTATCCTTGTACCATCTGCTTTTTCAGTCAATAACACTCAAAGCTGTTTCTTTCAGAATTCATTCATTTTAAATGTTTAAGTTTTCAGTGGAAAGTATATAGATCATGGAGGGTTTTTTATATGTGTTTTCATTTATATTGCCGTTATGCATTTTAAAATCAAAAAGGAAAAAACCATATACTAACAAGCAATAACTTAGTTGTGCAACATTCTTAAAATAAGCTTTTCATTTTATGAGCTATTGCTGATAGAGAGACACAAATCCTCTGGGAGGAAGTAAGTTTTTCTGTACACTTAAAATATCTGAAAGGGGAAAAAAGTGCTCAATATTTCTTTTTCAATAAATTTCATAATGAAGTAAAAACTCAGGATGGGCTGACAAACATAATCATGGGTTTCATGATTTTTAGGTCTGGGAAGCTGATGTGTAAACTGTAACCTAGCACTGAATAAAGCTGTTCAAACACACAACTGTGGGTGTCAGCTCAAATCACATCCAAAGTCATCTGGGGAAAGAGGAGGAGCACTAAAGACTTATTCAGGGATATCTTAACTTCTCAGTCTCAAATCCTGAATGTCCTCATATCAAATCTACCTGCTAATTCTCCTTGGAGATTAAGAGATCCACCAAGTCTTTCTGGATGTAGCAATATAGTAGTACTAGAGGTAATGAATATTTTCTTTGTCTGCCCCTGCCTGAGGACAGGTATGGTCTTTTCTCACAAATCTGTATCTATTTTCCTAGCAAAGCCTTTGTCACCATCACTTTATGTTGCTGGGGGTTCCTCTGCTTGCTGATATAAACACTGAAACCAGCTCAGCCATAGAAGAATTCAGGGGTCTTCCACAGGGAAATGTTATGCTAGCAGTCTATTAATACTTACGTGATGAAAATTAACGTTTGTAGATGTTCCTAATTTTTTTTTGTCCAGACATTTAATAATCAGTATTTTTTATTATTAAGTATTCCTTAATAAAGGTAGGTGTGCCAAAGCATCAGTGAGCCTAAGGATATCTTCTGTGCACAAATTTTAATGTGTGACAGGGAATGCATTTGCATGGAAAAAATTGAAAGAGACACCAGAGGAGTTACTGTGTAATGTGAACAGACAGAGCAAAAGGGCTACATGACAATCCAGGGAGAGAAAGAGAACTGTCAGATAAAATATAAAGGTGGAGCAATCACAGTGCTTGGGACTGTGTTTAACTCCATCAGTGCCATGCCAGGTGAGTCCCAGGATTTATTACAGTTTGCATCCACTTTCCTGTATGTGCCAAATTGCTACATCCCAGATAACTGTGGTTAGAGGCAGACCTCCTCTCCAGGCTTTTCTGAAATATGCAGTATATTTCAGAATATATGCAGTCATACACAAGCAAAGGATTAAAGCAGATAAAGGGCAGGAAAAACTTGAGAATATGTATTTTGCCCATTCCTTTAGAGGACAGATTAAGAATTCATGGGAAAGGAATGTTAGACACTGCACTCCATTTCTGCACTGGTCAGTACTCACAAGCTGTATTCAAAGGTCTTGTTGAGATTCACCAATGCAAAGAGCAAGTTAATAAAAAATAGATCCTGGGTTTCTTGTTCTCATGTTCTGGCAGATCTTTCTCAAACTGTGATGTGAACTGGCAAGAGAGCTGTCAAGAGTGAGATGAAAGAGCATGACAGAGACTCCAGAGTATGGTAACAGTATTCTAATCCCAGACACACTTACGCTGTTATTTTATTTATTATTTGTTACATACCTGGGGTATGCTTAACACATTGCAAGACTAAAGGAAAGCTATTTCTCTTGTGCCTTAATGCACTTTGCAGTGAAACACACAGCTGTGCCTTTTGTAAAAGCAGGGAGGCAACCTTCCATATTTCTGAGACATGAGCCCTTCAGAAGCAGGAATTCTAGTAATTCAAGAAATCCTACCTGCAACTTCTGTGAGATTTACTGAACAAAATGTTTCAATTAGATTGTTTTACATGCAAAGCTGCAGGTTTTATATTTTTATTTTCCCTGGAAAAACCACTTTGGATTTTTCACACAAATGCATTAATGAGAGATCCTTCAACATCCCACTCACACCTCTAGAAATTTGTATCCCATGTCTGGCCCACAGAGACGGGATGAAATTGATGTCTCAGATGTGTTTCATAACTTGTTTCTCTCTGATATGTCATATGTAATGAAACCTGTTAAATAATTTTTTAATTATAATTTTCAGATCTTAGCATGTTCTTTCTTGAAGGAAATTGGGAGTTTTATTTATTTAGTAACATTCTTACTAATTAACAAGGGTAGGCCAGATAGATCAGATTCTAAAATAAGGCCATTTTGTTACTCTCATTTTGCTAATGGTACTTAGAAAAGGAACACTTCATGTCTTCAAGGAGTTGTGTGCCTTGAATTACAGCATTTTATAATCCCCTATATTATTGTCCCTCCAAAGCTGCAATTTTCCTGTGTATTTGCTAATAGACCTTTGAACTAAAGCAAAAACAGTCCTCTGGTAAATCACACTTTCCCAAGTGATTACCTGACTGGAATCATTCCCAAGGGCTGAAATAACCACAGGCATGACACACATTCTTTGTCGATGGAAAAATCAAATTCAGACTTCAGAATTGACCTGGAGGATAACATGTAAAACCTAGTACATTTAAATTGCCAATAGGTGTATCTATAACTTTGTGTGAGTGTATGAATAGATTATTTCTATCTTTTTACTCCCAGCAATTGGGGTTTTATATAAATATAGATGGACAACTGCTACATGAGTTACGTTATAATATACGTTTTCTGGGGGTTTTTTGCAAAGATAACTAAAAATTAATTCCTTAGTGTCTTACTTGGAGGCAGGCAGGTCAATATTACATATTTATATTAAAGCCTCAGCTGAGAATATAGTTACATTTCCCAGTCCTGTTATAACATGCTAATAGTTGGGCTCTTTTGGATAAAACTTAATTAAATAGTTCCCTTGATGCACTAAGTTAAGCATTAAAACAACTAATGTGACATAAATCATTTAACAACCTTTATAAATGCATTTTCCCCTTACATTTCCATGTGTCTGTATCTCACTTTTACTCAGAATCATCTGATTAAGTTCCAGGAAATTCAGAGCCCAGTCATGCATTCTGGGTTCAGAACATACAGGTGGCTGAACTTAGAGATTTGATGAGGATTGAGTGGCAATTTGCTTATTATCACAGGTTGCAGCTGTGATGGGCAGGTAAATGTCAGCAGGAAGAGCAGGATGGGAGTTTCAGGATGCTTCTGCACAACAAAACTCACATCCCTTTAGCAAACAAATTCTATTTGATCCTTGTACTGTTGTTGTGGTTGATATTACTTCATTGTGTCATGGTAATTTGTCAACCTTGGCATGCATGGCACTTCATCCACTCTATAATGCAACCCCTCTTCTGTATTTGGGGACAACCAGGGCTTGATGGAAGTGGGGCTGTCTTACCACCTTTGGCCAGGGAGGTGATGATGTGTGAAATGGTGTCCTTTACTGCAGGAGATAATGCTCTGGCACTGGGCTGCCCTGGGAGGGAGAGAGCCTCGAGTGGGAAAGCTCATTCCCTTGAAGCGAAGAAATTAAGCTGCAGCATTTTTTTGCTCAGGTGAGTTGCTGGATGTTATGCTCTGCTCTCCTTGGCATGCCTTTTGTAGCTGCAGCGTGTTTGGGGCTCTGGGCTTTGTGGTTTTCTGAACCCTAACCCTAACCTGTTCTTTGATGAAAACACTACTGTATTCAAGCCACTGCTAAGCACCTGAACAGTATCAGACACTCAACTCTGACTTTAAGTAACCTTCTGGGTATCTAAGGAGGCTGGTAGCCCTGATTTTCTGATTAATCACTCATTAGTTTCACGGACCACATTATGCTTACAGAACTCATGACAGCAGAGCATAGCACTCATTGCAATTAATTTAGTTGGATGTTAGTGAAAGCTATGTTTCAGTGCTGTAATGTAATGATATAATTCAACCAAAGAGCACTTCTTCTGGCCTGTAACCACTGAATCACAGAATTGACTAGGTTGGAAAAGAGCTTTGAGATCATCGAGTCCAACCAAACTTTCAGTTTCACTCCCAGATACACAGACCTCTGCAGGTGAGCAGGCACGTGCACAATAAAGCAAGAATTACTTTTGGTACATTATTCAAAATAAAATGTAATATTTATCTGGCTTTTCTACTTCTCAGAGTGCTCTACAAACTATGAGTAGGCATTCTTAATCCCTTACCACACACGAGAAGAAAGAGGGATAGTTTTTGTCATAAGCATAAGTTAGAAAAGTGTCTTTGTCAAATTCTCTCTGGCTTGCCTAGGTGTGTTCTTACTCTAACTAAATTCCTAGCTTTGGGAAGACAGGTTTGAGTCTGTGAAGCAAACCTAAGAAATTAATCTAGAATTTGGTTTGTTGGGGTTTTTTGTTTGTTTATTGGAGTTTGTTTGGTTTTTTTTTAATTAAAAAGAATGGTATTGATAGTCCAATATTAGTACAGATGTTGGCATGAAACAGCTGACAACTGGACTGAGTTTATGCAGCTATAGTATGTCAGATATTCTTGTTATACCCTTCTAGCTTTTTACCAGTTATGCTGATGTTGTGTTAGAGCATTCTTCTACTGTATTGTTTTTTTGCTTTTAGAGACCTAGTAATAAAATAGCTTGCCTGACATAGGAGAATTTATTTTCTGGATTTGGTTACTTGTGGTCTGCATCACTTTCCTGACAACCATAAGAACATTCTCTTTAACTTGACTGTTACTGTGTCCATTGCACAAAGCAAAATATAATGAAATTACACTTAGAGAATGGATTTGCAGGTGGAATTCCCCAGTTTCTAATAGATAACCAAAGCATATGAGTCCATTGAGCCAAGAAATTATATTCTGGGAAGTATTTGTTATGATTATGCAATATGGTGACTTGATGATTTACTGTGGATGGAGGCAGCTCATGTGCCACAGCTGCTTGTGATCCCAGCCATTTCATTTAGGGACTTTCATGCTGCTCTCAAAAGACTGAGGCAAAGAGCAGATTTTAGTCCTGTTCTTCACAGAGAAATTTATACAACAAAAATTGATTGGAATGCATTTCCTCTGCCACTACACTCAAAAAGCAAACTATTACTTTGGAAAATAGCTTTTTTAGAAAAAAATATATTTTGGAAAATAACATTTCTGGTCAGCTTCTCTGTACAGGCAAACACATCTGATGAGATTGCTGCCATATAGTAACACTGGTTTTGATAGCAAGAAATTTGCTGATCAAGCAATATTTTGCAAAAAAACCCTGCATATACCTTTATATGGCAGGTGATATTGAAGGGGAACCTTTATAAAAAATAAATTTTTACTGTTAATTGTTACATTTTCTGAGCAAAACCAAATGCAGCTGTTATAAGCTTTGATCATGGTACTCTAAAGAACAAGGGAAAAATACCAGTCTACACATGTATTAGGGGTTGTGTGACAATTTGTCACTAGATAAATTACAGTTTTATAATGAACAAAATTTATTTTTCATAATTTGAAAGATGCCTGGAAGGTTTTAGAGGAAAATATATCACCATATTAAGTAGCAGACAAAGCAGAAGAGGAGAGCCTATCAAATGAAGCAAGACAGAACTCCATTATGTAAGATACATATGTAAAATCTCTACTCTGACATAGTGAAGGAAATTATTTAACTTCTCTGATTGACCTTTTTCTCACTGAAGCGGTAAAACTTTTTTAAGTATAAAAGGAAAATTCTATGAAATTTATGGAAGGCAGCCAACCTATTATTTAATATTCCACATGACTGGATAATATTATTGATGAATAATATGCAATTTGTTGGAATATAGCAAGAAAACTTACATATTTTTCCACTTATATGTGCAATTCTCTGCATAAATTAGTTTTCTTCATTTTTATTATTTTTCCTGTAGATGGAAGAATAAACAGAAATTGAGAGATAGCATAAGATACAGTTCTTTTCTGTAGGACTATATTACTCTTTTCTAATTTTGCAAAACTCTTCAAAAAATATCTTGGGAAACTACTGTGAAACAAGAGGGCATACTGATGGATTCACCATAGTATCTTCAAAATAGAAAAATGATAAATAATGTTCCCAAAACCTGTGTATACCTTAGAGGTTTCTGAAATAAATTTTCAAATAAAGAAAAACTCATAAGTCTTGTAAATTTAGTAAGAATTTATAGCATACTCCTTTAAAATGCTGTAAAGACTTTTGGACATAACAAGTTCTGAGAAAAACCTTTGTGTTTCAGATGAAGCTAAACTAGTTTCTTTGTCTGTGTTATGGGACTGCTAATTTTTGTTGAACATTTGTTTGAGAGGTACTTATTCTATTGTTCTCTGCCCACCAGCTCTTCTGCTATTTTTATATAAAATATAAACAAAAGAAGTTACTTTAATATGACTACATAGAATTTGTAATTTCTACTCTGTGCAAAATTCCCTGGATCTAAGCTTGTCCATTTGGTTTTCAAGATGTGAGAGCATTTCTAAGGCACATTTTTCCCTTATTGGCCATAGCAGATTTTAAAGCTGTTGTCTCACAAGCTTTGCTGCAGTGACACACAGCTTTAGAAGGGCACTGAGACCCCACCAACTCGCAAAGTCTGACGAATATTTTCATACTGACTTGGTAAATGAGTCACAACCTTTGTGAATTGCCTGAGGGCAGAAAGCAATTCAAGGGAAGAGTCATTTAGAGAACTCATCTTTCCAGACTCCTGTTCTCTCTTCAGTACTTAACAAGGGTTTTTTGTAATCATAGCAAAATGCTGATTTCTAAAAGTGAGGAGATATCACTCTGTACATGCTGTGTTCATATAATCTTGTTTAGTCATATACTATTGACCAGTGGCAGAGACAGAATAACTGAACTAACTGGATCTCTGATTTGAGATGGTAATCAGTTTTTATTAGGCAAGGGACCTCATATTCCTCCTCAAACAGGTGAAGGAAAAATATTATTTCATTAATAAGATTAATATGCATTCATTGGTTATTGGAAGGATCTGCACTTAACCTAGTTCTGAGGAGGCCTGGCAAGACCTTGTTGAGCTGTATGAACAACCACTTCCTACATCCCTAACAAATTTCTTTGGGAAAAGAGGGTAGGAAAGTAAGGGAGCCTGGAGGAGTTCAATATTACTTTTTGAAACTTTCAAGAGCAAGCTACAAGAGCTCTCTCAGTTTGAGTCTTGCATCTCTTCTCTCATGGTCTGGAATCACACAAGTGTAATTTAGATTAGACTAGAAATGTGGAAACAATTTGGCCAGTGATGCATAAGGAACAGAAACCAGTTCTCCCTTTCTGATCCTCTTCTGTCAAGACAGAGAATAAAAAGCAAATCATCTCCACTTCCCTTATTAAAATATGATTCCTAATATTCAAAGGGAAGTAATCCATAGAATACAAAGGCACTGTTAAGACATAGGTAATCTAGAATGTGGCAGAATATGTCATGTGAGGCTCGTGGAAATGCAATACAACAAGGGATTTGTTGAAAAACAGGGAAGTTTTAAAGGAGACTTTCATTTTCAAGTGCTCTTTTCAGACACTGCCTGTTGCAACGGTGTGATACAATAACATAAAATTGCTTTCATTAATAGTATGGACCTATTTTGCCTGCAGAATTAGGCTCAGCAGGATGGATCGTTATTAAATTGCAGAAAACATTAAAATAAACTCTGGGTATTGAGGTAGCTAACCTGGATAGAGTTTTAGAAGCATGATGCCATGTTGAAGACTATGTAACACTGAAAAGTAGAATGCCTAGAGTAGATGTGGCAGAAGAAACTGAAGTCTGTCCTTTAGTTATCAAACAAGCAAACAAAATCTCTGGCGTGTCACTGAGACTGTCATGAAAATGCTGTCATATCAATTAAAGCTGCTTTCCTCATTTTTTTTCATGCTGGCTGAGGCCCAAACAAAAGACTTGTGATATCCCAGCCCAAGTTCTTTTTGACTTTCTGTAACTTGCAGAAAAGTAGGTGAGTGAACATCCCATTTTCATATTATTTCACTGAAATTATTTAGAATTGGGAGGTCTGTATTTGCAGTGCTGTCAAACTGACAGCAGAGTGCACAACCAGTATGTTCTTACTGTCAATGCTGTTGGTGGACCTGGCATTCAGATCTGTTGATGATCTGCCCTTAACCTGATGCAGTACATGGGGGAAACGAGGTGCCTTGAGCTCTTTCTCTGAACTCCCAACAACATCATCCCCAGACAGCCAGGACCACACACAGCCTATGGCAATAGTGAGGTGTTTTGTGCCATGCTGTGAGAATGCCCTGGATGCTCTTTAGCAACCAACTGCTCACGATGCTCCAAAAGAGAGCTTTGCCAAAGGAGTCACAATGATGGGTTCTTATTAGATTTGGTAAATCTCATGTGGACATAAAGAAATTACGCTGATGTCACCACCTGAGTAAACAAACATGGAATTTCACTGAACTGAGTAATAGGTTCTGTATTTTTATTGGAATAAAGGATGATAGATGATCAAAGTAAAGGCATCCAAAAGGCAGATATATGTCAATGCAGAAGACTCTAATAGAAGAGAATAGCACACTGTGCTCCAGTTCATGGTAATTCGTTCTTTGTGAAAGGCAAATACTATTGTTCTCAGGGTTGGAACATATTTTCTCAAACTGAACTTCTAGGGAATTTCATTCCTTTGATGTCACTGTCCATTTGAAGTCATGATTATCCAAAAAGCCATGATTAGACCCTAGGCAGAAGGAGGAACTGAAAACTGGTCAAATTAGGGAATATGAGAGCAAGTTTGTTGAGTGAATATTTGTTTCACTCCAGCCTTGCTGATGTTGATGGGGAACAGCAACACTGCTGCTCTTGCAGGGCACTCAGTGCAGGTTCCCACAACTGCAGCCAGAGGGTTGGCTCCCAAGGAGCTTTGTTAGCAGGACAGTACCAAGGGCAGGTATTACAAACTCTGCCAGGTTACAAGTACTGCTTTCTCAGATAATGAGAAAGAAATACCTGTGAAGACCTCTCGCCATTTTTTAATCCACAAACTCACCTTTTCCCCTCCTTCAGACAGAAAAACAAGGTTCATTTTTCCTTTCCAATGTGTTGTATAGTGGGGGTTGAAACCTGCAGGTGGAAGGCATAGTGCTGTTATTATTATTTACTCTTATAAAAGACAACACAGGGATTGCCATCAGTGAATCTGTCTCTCAGAGTTAGGTTTGAAATTTGCAGGCCTCAGCTATCTGGATAGGTTTAAGGAATAATTTCTGTTATTTGTAATATATGAAGCAATAAAATGCTACTAAGAATGATTAATAGCCAAAGTGAAGCTCAGACATTTCATCGATCTCAAAAGCCATTTATTGCAAGTATATGAAAGCAAAAGAGATTATTGCTATTATACAACAAACTATAAAATAAGAAAGGAGAAAAATGCATCTTTTTCTCCTTGCAGATGATGAAAAGGTATTCTGCATTTTTCCTCTCTGCAGGATTTTCCATTGGAAACACATGTTGGAGGCATGAGTGGGATCAATAACATCACAGAGCTTTAAATACTGATTAAATGATCAAGGACAGATACATTTGAGGATAAGCTCAAAAGCTGTTCACAGAAGCAGTTGGTGCAGAGCAGAAGTGACTGAACTGGACAATGAGGGTTTTGTGTGCAGATACGTTTGAATTTTTCTGCCTAGAATTCTGTGCTTGTTACATAACCCCTCTTGATTAATTGAGCCCCTGTGCCAGGTTGTCAGCTGCAGCTGAGGTATGTCTGGCACAGCCAAGGGGAACTGGCACACCAGCCTGCTGCTAGGTTTCACCCTGTTCTACCCCAAGCCTAGGACAGAATAAGCCATAGGAACACTTGATGGCCTGGATGTTACTTTGTTGGTTCTGTACCACCTGAAGGCTCACCTTCACACCAAACAAAATGTCCTTTGTCCTTCACACTGGTCAGAGCAGTCTCACAGAAATTCTGACTTCAACAGAACATTCCTGGAGGTCCCATCCTCTGGTCATGAGCAGACAGCCTTTTGCATAAGGTAAAAAATCCAGCCATTCCACTGATCATGTGCCACTTTAACAACCGCTGATATCTGGAGGACCTAGAAGACATTAGGTGCATTAGGACAACTGGAATTTGTAACATTGAATATGTGATTCTAATCTTGTATTTTTAGGTCCCAAGTGGAAGTGGTCTTCAGAGCGTATTCAGAGAGAAGTCATGGACAGAGTTTTCCCTTTATTCCATGCAGTAGTAAAGAGTGAACAGAATTTGGGAAGTGTAACTAGAGAAGGTTGCATGCAGCTGAACCTTTTTTCATTTGTTTTAATAATTTTTCCTGGCTATGCTCCTACAAATAACAGGGGTTTATTTCAAGAAGTTGGATTTAAATAATTTACCTGTCCTTGTGAGGCAGATGAAGATTGGGGTGTATTTCTGCCTCTTAAAAGGTGTGTTCATGCAGACATCAATGCAGAGACCAAAAATTTCATTAAATGAATGAAATCCTATGCAATACTGAATAGAAGCACTACTTTGTATGCTTTCTGCTTCTCTCTTTGTGCTAAGAGACTTTCTTTACTGGATATTCTTCTAGCCTAACTGCTTGCTATACACAATCTTTACCTTTTTTCCCCTTAATATAAATCAACTATCTTTACTAAAAATGAAAATGTAATAACATGTTATAGATTCAGATGAATCAATAGCTGTAATGGTTTGGAAGAGAGTTTTGCCCAGTTGATTAATTTGGATTATCAAATTCTGGAGACATAGACTGCAGTTCATGGATTTTATGATGCCCAAGATGGCTTTGCCTTCATCCAGGAGGTAACTGACGATACCTAATTAATGACAAATGTTTCAAACACATACTTGCTGTAGCTACTATAGTCTTTTAGCTGAACTCAGCAATTTATCTTTTTTCCTGGCTCATTAAACTCTATTTTGAGCTCAAATAATATACAGCTAATGATCATGTCTTTAAGAGTATTTGCAAATCAGTCACCTCTGCCCTGGAATTAGTTCTTAAAAAGTCTAAAAATCTACAATAGAGTAAAACAGAGTGCATATCAATCCTTCAGGGCCTGTATCATTTGAAGGTTGGGGGGATATTTTCTCCTTTCTCTCAATGAGATCTCTTGGTATAGGAGCTCTTCTCTCCTCCTGCTAATCTGCATGTGCAATGTACAAAATCCAGTCTCAACTACGTTTTCAGGTTGTATTTATAAATTTTATAGCTAGATTCTGGGTGTCAACTGTTTCTGCTCAGAGGAGCATTTGCCATGATAAAGGAGCCCCCAGTGGGACAACACACAGTTATTCCTAATGTATCCATCAGCAAATTATCTAGGCAGTAGTCACAAAATTGAGATTGGGTAGTAAAAGTAATTGATTTTTTTTCACTATAGGAGCTAGTTCAGAAGTTACAAAAAAGTCTTAATTTAGAGTGAGTGGAAATAGAAGTGTTGGGGGTTTTTTTTCTCAGAATGCAAAAAGGGCATTCAGCTGTGTGTGGCATCACGGTTCAAACCCAAAGCAGGCCTGCATAAAGGACTACTTCTTCCATCTCCCAGGAGCATACCCTACTCACAGCATATGAAAGTTATCGTAGCAGAGGTCACCCTTAGCAAATGCCCTTTTCCTCTTCAGTTGTGGCTATGTGAAAAATAAAAGTCTCCCTGGAACTATTTTGGAAATTAAATTTACATTTTTAATAGCATCAGTATGGCTCCTGCTGTGTTCTTCACCAAACATTTTCTGATACCCTGTATGAGATCTGCTTCAATTTGTATGTAAAAAACCTCTGCTCTTCTGAGGTCAAGTGACTTTATTGGATGATCTGTACCTTTGAAAGTTTCTCTGACTATCTTTGTTACCTACTGAAGGGCTTGGCAGAAAGATCACGTTCAGCATTGTGATCTGAAATTGATTGGGATCAGACTCATTCTAATCAACTCTGGCACAAAGTAACATAGCATAGGGCTCTCTGCCAAGAACAGTCTGATCTCAGCTCCTGAGTGCTTCACAGTGAAGTACTGCAGCCTCTGAGCTTCCATGGAGAGCAGTTTTTTTCCTAGGGTAAGAACGGAGAACAGGTTGCTGGATTAGCAATGCTTTTCTTTTGGAGGGTCTGTAAGGAATACGGAGGACAGCACCTGGTATGCTCCCAGGAGATTTGTGGTATTGTGTCTTGCACAGGCAGAATTTCTTAATGCTTTTCTAGTTCAGTGTCAGAAAGAAAGAACTGCATTGACCCAAGTGTGAAACGCAGTAGTTAAATCCTCACTGGAGACAAGCAGTCACAGCAAATCAAAAAGATTAAATTGTAAATATTGTCTATTACCTCTGTCCCTTGTAGAAAATGTTATTCTGTGTTCTAGTTTCTCTTTATGTTTTATTGAGAAAGATTCCCTGAACAGCCATGGTCATATCTTTGGGGAAAGGAGCAGAACACAGACACTCATGGATTGCATATCAGCTGTTTGGGACACCAAGTGATTGTTTTGGAGACTTTAGATTTTCAGGATGGGCTTTTCCTGCTGGCTTATTAACTTCAAGAAAAATTTAAACAATTCAGTTTGATTCACTGACTCATAGATGGGAGACTACATTGTCCTGTTAATGCTCTCCTTTTCCTTATGAGCAGCTAATAACGATCTCTAGAGGAAATCTTAAGGAAATAGCCAAATGTCAAAAAAAAGCAATCTGAGGGTTAGAATGTGGCATGCACTTAGTTAATTTTTATGTTTCTTTCATATGAATTTAAGTCTTAGTTAATCATTATGAGATGTTTCTCTGAAGGATGGTTGGTATTATGCTGTATCTTATTTCCCATGTGAAATTGCTACGGGCACCATATTAGATTTTATTATGCACATTTTCTTTTAAATTTATCTTCTGTGCAACTTTTTCTTGTGTTTTCAAATGAACACCACTAAAATGAATTAAAAGAGCAAAGGGACCAATAGGTGGTTTAAAGACAATACTGTGTTATGAAGACAATATTATAACGCCAAGACTAAGTTCAGAATCAATTGCAGAATATTTTGCAGTTTGGCTTTCCAGGTTTATGGGTTAAATTTCCATTTGGTATAAGACTCCTGTGTAATGCTGAAAGTTATTTTCATGATGCTTCACTTTACCATGTGAAACAAAGTGGACTACATTGCAATACAAGCTTATTGTAAGATATTGAGATAAAGGAAGTCATATAACACTCCAGAGTGATATCAATAGGAAGAATCCCATTATCAGTCTTTCCATGTGTGTAAACACACACATGCGTATTTCTGGATAGATACTACCTATGAATATGAATATGAATTATACTACTAATAATCTAATTGAATTAATGAGACAACAACTCGGAAATTCCCAAATACCAGACTTAGCACCAGATTCACTTTGGACACATACCTCCTCTAGTCCTAATTTTCCAGTTGTGAAAAAAATAGTTGTGTTTGCATATCAGGTGATTACTAGGTTATTTGCCCATTTGCATACAAATAAAAACAATTCCAGTCTTTGATCTTGCATATCTGTGAGTTCCCTTCAAAGGAAATTATGCCATGACAGTTTTGTTTTTACTTCAATTTGGGCAAAACTATGTTCTTTACTTCTGCTGTCTATTTCAGCTGGTAGAGAAGGGTAATATCCAACTGCAACAGCATAGGATATTTAAAGAATGACAAAGCGGAGATGCCTTAATGCAAAGCACATTATTCTAAAGTAGCTCCTGATGGGAGCTATCTATGCCTGGAGTGCCACCTAGTAGAGTTCATGTGAAAAGAATACAGGAATTGGAGAGGCTGCTGCAGTTCATTTGAAAATGTATTAGATGGCTGAAAGATGTCCTGAGGAGGAGAAGGGTCAAGCATCCTTTTATCATCATTCATATGAAAACAAATGAAACTACTGTTCAAAGATGCAGTGAAATCAAAATCTTTAGACAGTGGACATGTGAGAAATTATGAAGATGAAGAAAAGCACATACTTAAAGAAATATATCAAGAGGAGAGATACAAGAGGAAAAGATCAGATCTCCTAAGCACCTCAGGAAATTATGAAATTAAGTTTCATCAGTATTATAAATACAACAAAAGTGTAGTGCAGTAGAAAAGCAATCATGACTAGAATGGGATTTAAGAAAATGCACTGTTAGGAAAGGATGAAAACAAAGTCAAAGGCAACAGAACAGATGTATACATAAAGTGGTAATTGGTAAAGAATTAGAGTTAAGATTACATAATAAAAGACAATGTTGGGGCAAAAGTAAATGAATGTAAGTAAAGGCTGGAAATTAAAAAGTTGCTAACATGTAGGAGCAGGTGGAGTTTGATTATTTCTTTGTAAAGAATGATGTGACAGGTGTCTATAATGACTGCAGACTGTGCTTCATGAGTTAACTCATAACTTCTTTAGTTAATTCTTTTACCATTCAACCCCATGAAAAGAGTAGGCCTCTATATGGGTTTCCCCATACAGTAAACAGTCTGTGCATGTAGTTTTCTGATCTTCTTCATGAATGCATGGCTAACTCCCCCCTATCGCCTTTGTAAGATTCTGTACCTGGAATACAAACTAACCTACCACTTCAGGCAAGCAGAAGTTATGCTCCTCTATGAGTCATAGCAGTAATGGGGCCAGTTTAAAAATTGTAGTTCCTTACCTTTGAATTCTTTCAGGCTTTTCAGTAGCAGGAACACAATTTGCTTTTTATTGCAACGCTTTCTCATTGCTGCCACAAAGGCAGCAGCAGTTGGCAACTGGCAGAAAGCTCGTCTCTGTCTAGAAATCCAAATAACTGCTAAAGGAAGAATGGTAGTTTTATAGACTGTGAAAGTATTAAAACCCATGGCAATAAAGAGATCTCTGATTAACAAAACCCAAACAATTGAAAAGGATACAAGTCACACACACAAAAACTCCAATTCTTATATAGCAATCCTTCAGTTCCCTCAGTTTCACCCAAACTAAATTAAAATGAGAACCTTCAGGCAAATTGCCATTAAACGAAAACTCTTAAAAGGAGAATGTACAATCTAATTATAGTGTAACAAATGTGTACCTTTCATCTACAAGGCTGGTACTCCAAATTATAATAGTCAATTATGATTATATAATCTATTAAAAAGAATAACCAAAGTGCTATAATGAAAAGTAAAAACCTACAAAAGAACATGAAAGACATCTCCAGTGGCTCAAAGTGGTGTAACAGTAGTACCCTATACAATTTCCTTTCTAATGTAGCCTTTATTTAGACTTTGGGTCAGAGACAAGAGTGCTGACAGTCACTTCCTGAATTCTCAGGAATGCATTCCTTTTGCCCAGTGCCCACTGCATTATTTTTTATAATACCCCATGAATGTAGCTACCTGGAAGTAAAAGGCATGCAGCTAATAACTAAATCAATAAATCACAGTTAAAAGAAGTACTGCCTTTTATTTTGCAGGTCATTCATATATTTGCAAAAAATCCTTCCTTCCTTCCTTCCTTCCTTCCTTCCTTCCTTCCTTCCTTCCTTCCTTCCTTCCCTCCCTCCCTCCCTCCCTCCATTACATAATCACACAATTAGAAAAAATACTGAGAAATTCTAAAGCATGCTTAAAATTATGGAACGGTTTCAATTCTACAAATTAACAATTGGAGCAGGGTCTTTCAACCTCAAAAGATGAGACTAAGGGAGACATGAAAACTTTACAGTGTCATGAATGATAGAAAGATGACACATAAAGACTCTATCCACCACCTTTTTAAACACGAAACGTTAGGGGGCTCAAATGAAACAAAGAATTTACTATATGTGTGAGTCAGCAGAGGAATTTTGTAATAGGATATGGTAGATAGTAAACCCATTCAGACTCAAAAAGTGAATGAACAAATTCATTAAAGAAAAAATATTCAAGTGTTTCTTGAACCAGTAGACACCACCACTGCCTTAGGGACTATCTGAACTCTGACACTGGAGGCTCTGGGAACATTGTACATTACTACCTTGATCCTGCACTCTTCTCTAGACATCTGCTATCAGCTGCTATCAGAGACAGAAATCAAGTCAACTGCTTCACTGCAAATGCTCCTTGTGTAAAAACTACAAACTTCCCTGCTCTAATCCATTTCCTATAAATTTGATACAGCTTAAGGGTGATGCCTAGAGAGGCTACCTGGAACAGAGGCTAGACAGTGTTGAATGAATAAAGTAGGTATTTAATAAAAAGTCCTTCAGAGGATACACCTTGGGCAGTACAAGAGCTTGGCCATGGCTCTACCCAAGATGGACCTAAGATGTACAACCTGTCACAAGTTCTCAGACTTTCATATGTTTTGGTCCATTTACGTATTGAGGTTAATTGTGCACTTACAGCTCCAGGTTATGAAGTCCTATCCTCACAGATTGCTCTCCTCAATTTGCTGTTGTTTACACTTTTGGGGCCTGAAGCTGCAATGTTGTCCTTGGTTCTCTGGCTGGAAAAGGACAGTTTTGTGTAACTAAACTGTGAAGAGAACTTGAACAGAGTTATAAACTATAGCATTACAGAATCTGGAAAATATAAAAGCTAAAACTTAAGGCATCA